ATGGGGGGGGGGGGTGCAAAGTAATAAAATAGGGGGAAGGAGCTTGTCAAGTATCTAGGAGGGGAATGACACCACTGCTTCAAGACTCTCATTGTCATTTGAATCATCTTCTATGTTTATTTCTTGTTTCAGATATTGATCGCTCGAAATGTATCTCCAGAAGTGTGTCGATTTACCGCCTCAAAAGAATAAGCCCCTTTCTGCAAAATACATCAGGTGTGTCAAAAGTTTGTTCTCAGCTGTATTCATAGTATTTTCCTGTTACCGTTTATTTTTTTTCACTTCTATTTGCACAGGGTACATTTCTTTTAAACGTAAGATGAATCTTCAGCTGTATTTCCAAAAAAATCCACCACGTCGCGCTGCTAAAATCTGGCTCCGAAATTAGTAATTCTTTAAGTATCACAAGAGATCTACTAAATTCCAAGACTCGTGAGTTCTAGCAGCATACGTCTAGAATGTTTTTTAATGATAATTGATATATAAAATATAGCTGTAACATCAAGGCTAAAAATGTACCTGAAATTCGCCTCAGTGTAGAAACGAGCATCACACGTACGTTACATCACTTTAAAATTTTTTTCAGATGTAGTATTGGTATTTTATTTTCGACTATTATCTACTCTAAGAAAATGCTAAGAAACTTCATGTTCCTTCACTTTCATTTTTGGGCCTATTTCCGCGACCTTAACCATTGGCTCGACCCACAGTGGGACGGCTCGTCGAGCTGTCGCGGAGTAAGTTAACGCAGCGCGCTTGGCGCTAAGTTATGGGGCGCTCATAACGAATCGCAATTTCACGTCCACCATTAAGCACCATAATAGATCAAAAGAGCAAATAGCTTTCATTCTTTTAAAAGGAGCCACAAATGTCATTTGAAAAGTAAGGCACCCCTACCAACTTTGATTTTAAAATGAGGCCTGTTTTGCAGTCGGCCTGCAGTGAGCTTTTTGCCATTTGCGTGTTTGAATTTTGCGAAATTAAGAATGCCTACATAATTTAAAAATTCTTCGTTACTTATTTAAACAATGTTGCATCAGTGAGAACTTGATTTTTAACCAAGACCGTTAAGTTCCAGCCCACCTCATAAGTTCAAGAGGATAAGTAAAATGAGAAAAGGTGAAAATAGAGCGTTAATCGCAGGAAGTACAGTTACCAGGAAGTTCTTTACCAGTGCAGATCGGATGCCCATGTTTTACCTAATTATTTAAGAAGTTACTTTGGTTGCTACACAGTTTTATTGTACCTCTATTCAACAACATGATTGCTAATGACCAATCTCCTAAAAACTAAATTATTGTTGCAGTTGTTTCGATTTAAAGGTCATGTAAAACTTATGTAGGTGCTGGACCCTTAAACCTTCAAAGACAGGGAAAAAAATTCTTAAAATGAATTTTCCAAAATTCATAATTAAATTTTTTTACAAAGAGATAAGAATATTTTAATTTACAACTTTTACAACAAAAATGCATTAATGCATTAAGTAAGTCAGGGACTTCGCGAGTCCCTCACCTCTTCCCAGCTAACAACCCCGCCCTGACGGGTGGAACGCCCCTGAGCATTAGGAGAGTTAGTTTCGAGTAGTTAGCGAGCAGTGCGCCTCTTTAGCTCTGCTTGCAGCCACCATTATACATGAGACAGGAACCAAGGGTAGACTATCAGGTCTAAGTATGCTCATGAAGGTAAACTGCCCAAACTACCCAGATTTTAATATTTTTGTACGAGGGGTATTCAATAAAAACTGTCAGATATTTTAAAAACATTGTACCAACAAAAAAATGTATCAAGCGTTTCACAGTACACAGTAACTTTTGTTGTAAATGCAGTAAAGTCTTTAGAACACTTTCGCTACCACCCTTTTCTAGATTTTTAAGGCTCACTTTTTACACTTTTACCGCTGCAGTCATGGAGTCAAAATGTTGAGTTTTAAAGCAATTTTTGGATAGAGGGTCTAGCGCGATTTCAAGGAACTTAGAGCAAATCTGTTCCAGGAAGTTGCTACAACTTTACCTACAACTTGTTCCTGGAACTAATTCGTCTCAACTGTGCTTGAGTGGATAAAGTCTTATTGCTCTTTGGGCAAGAAGATGAATGAAGTCCCATTTCGGAATTTTTCTTGGAGAGACTCCGTGACTCTTGGTGCAACATATAAGGCTGGCCTTGGGGGGTACCACCGAACCCACCAAGTGCTAGCATTCGTAAGGTTCAGATGATCACGAAATTGTTTAGAATCCCTCTCAACCAATATGTCATGTCTTTTGGCAACATTCCTCACTGTCTTAAACGCATCGATTCACATTAAAACACCACCAGTTTGAATAATATTCTCAATTAAAACTGTAACAGCAGTGCCTTAGGACCATCCTAAAGTTTAGGGCTGTCTTGAAGCCTTTCAATTAACCACCTTTCACGGAACTGTTTGGGTATTACGCCACTCTCATACGTTTGTTTTAACTTTATATTGGTATCATTATTAGTTTTATTAGGTTTTAAAAAAAACTTAAAGCGTAATACTGCTTTAAAAATCTAGCAACAGTGAGGAGTTCCAGAGGGCAAAAGACACACCACTATAAAGTGGGGAGGCGAAACATAAGAGCGTTACCGTCAGTTGGTGTAACATGAGCCGGTTTTTGACTTTGAGGCTTTGCATTTTTGCAGTAAATTTTTTTTTCATGCAATCAATTTTTGTTGTAGATCAGTCCCATATAGAAGAGTAAGAATAGCCCCTTGAAAAAATTTTCCAGCAAACTGGGTATTTTTTTTTAAAAAAAATTGAGGTGGCTCATGTTACCTGCAAGGTGGGGTAACATGAGCCACCCTATTGTTTTTAATTTAAAGGCACATGTAAGCCTACTATAGGCTTACATGAGCCTCCCAAAAGTTTTTTTAAAAAAAAATTGAGTTACAAAACATTAAAAACCAGGCTAAAAACGTACAAAACTTTAATTTTCCTACAATTTACGTCAAATTTCAGGCGAACAAATACATTTAACATCTAAAACCTTGTATCTAACAGGAAATCATTTAACAATCAATAGCACTAAGTTACTTTAAAGGCACACCGACAAGACAAATGGGACCTAAAGTCAAGAGAGATCAGTCAAAGTTTCTTAAAAAGAATATATATAGTAGTATTTTGGGCTACGTTAGATTCACTTTTATTTATAGTAGTATATATATATAAGTATAAAATTAATATTGACTTTAATTTTAATTTTTGGAACTTTTTGGCTTTGTTTTCCCCGCAAAATGGTGTGGACTGAGCACCACCACCTTGTTACATACAGTTCGGGCCACTTCTTAGTGTTTTTTTCTTTTTTTTTCCTTATATAAGTATATATAGTATACAAGTCTTAAAAAGACGAACAGTAAATATGAAAGATAAGTGAAGGAGTTGATTTATTCTCTAAAGGAATGCCAATTTTACTAAGAATGTATCATGAAAACCATTACTGTATAGATTGTTCCTGGAGGACTTGCAAAAATTGGGTGGCTCAAGTTACCTCCAACATTCCAAAATTTTGGTTTTTCCAAAAAAAATCGGTCAAAAACTAAAATGTTCAAAATCCAATGCATGGGCATGAAAGTTGGAGGTATTTGTGAGGTTCGGCGACCGGCGAAATTATTCTGTGATTATCGATAGTCACTTTTCAAGGAGGTTAGTTTCAGAGGTAGAAAAAGGGGCAAGAAATTCTAAAAACTAAATAATTTATAAAAATTTCTTATCGATGGAAAAATGTGTCTCTATACCATTGAAATTCCGCCAAGACACGCCACTATCACATCATGTTGTTGTTTTCGTTGTTTACTTTCGCGACAGGGCTGCCACAGGCAAGAGAAAAAAAAATCCCCAAACGGCTCATGTCACCCCCGAGCCTCATGTTAGACCAACTGACGGTATTGAGTGTCAAAATTTTGCACTCTTTTTAGCAGTAATGACTTTTTTCATGACCTGTTCATGAAGTTGCGACACTGCAATCTTTGCTTCTATGGAGACCTCCGACAGTCTCTGTTGAGCACCATTCATGTCCAACCCAAGTGTCCTCCCATTGTCTTTCATAGAATAAAATGAAATCACTTAGTGCCATCTCAAGTTTCATGATACGAATTTGTGTGCGTTTTCAGGAGCTTTGCCTTTCCATCGATGAAGGACAGAACACCAATCATCTTAACCAAAGTAATAGATCAGTTATCAAGAGATAAAGAAGCCCTCATTGATAAACATGGAAAGGTGACAATTAAGATGTTACTTTGATTTTTTCACAGTTTTTATCTCTTCTCCCTTGATGTACAGACTAACCGTTTAAAAAATCAATTTCCTTCTTATAATTACTAGCAACACACACTGAAAGAGCAGAAGTGCAGAAAATGTTCGAGCAAGTGCATAAAGATGTGAAGTAGGTAACCTTGAAAAGGACTACGTGCAAAACGGGCCATTTGGGGCTCGGGGCTGATACCTTTGAGACTTGCCCTATTCATTCACCTAACAAAGCCCCATCTTTCCTCAAAGTTTCAAGCTCCCCAAAAATTTTGGGGAGACGCGGCGGGGGGTCAAAGTTAAAAACCGGCAACATTTTCGCGAATTTATTACTCGAAAACCAAGAAGTTTTGGAAAACGCGGTTTAAACGAGCGTATTCAGCGTGACGAGAGCTTTCAGAAAATGTATAACATCATAGGGTTTTGTCTACTTCAGCTCGAGTTATCGCCTCCGAAGCGCCGGAACACTCAAGAAAGACCCCTTATTTTTTCACGTGTGGGCCGATTTAAAAAAGAGCCATTTTTTTATTTTGATGAAAAACTGATATGTTGTTCCTAACCCTCTGTAGCCCCTCTAGCTCTTTACCGCATGCTGGGGAAATGTTTTGGTCGCGAGTTATAAGAGCGGAATGGAGCGAAGGTCGGGAAAATCGGCTATTTTAAACTGCGCGCGGCGACGGATCAGGAGACATGTGGCAACAATGCGAGGTCGGCAGAGGAGTGTGATTCGCCGAACTGAGTGGGAGGGGACGTTTTCCCTCCGATCAACGTCGCGCGCGCAGTTTAAAATAGCCGATTTTCCCGACCTTCGCTCCATTCCGCTCTTACAACTCGCGACCAAAACATTTCCACAGCATGCTGTAAAGAGCTAGAGGGGCTACAGAGAGTCAGGAACAACATATCAGTTTTTCATCAAAATAAAAAAATGGCTCTTTTTTTAAATCGGCCCAAACGTGAAAAAATAAGGGGTCTTTTTTGAGTGTTCCGGCCTTTCGGAGGCGATAACTCGAGCTGAAGTAGACAAAACCCTATGATGTTTTACATTTTCTGAAAGCTCTCGTCACGCTGAATACGCTCGTTTAAACCGCGTTTTCCAAAACTTCTTGGTTTTCGAGTAATAAATTCGCGAAAATGTTGCCGGTTTTAAACTTTGACCCCCCGCCGCGTCTCCCCAAAATTTTTGGGGGGCTTGAAACTTTGAGGAAAGATGGGGCTTTGTTAGGTGAATGAATAGGGCAAGTCTCAAAGGTATCGGCCCCGAGCCCCAAATGGCCCGTTTTGCACGTAGTCCTTTGGAAAAGAGAAAACATTTTCAATTGTCAAAAGTTTTTGAGATTTCAGTTCTCATTCGTAATAAATTAATCGTCTAAAATTTGAGAAAAAGCTGCAATAATTACCCTACAATCTGTTCAAATGTATGGGAGGTTGTTTCACAATTTTCGGACCTGTCCTCATTTTCTTCCATGGAGTGAAAGACGGTGATCAGTTGTGGGGAAGATGCTGCCAACGAGGCAAAGACAATGACAGTTTAAACTTTGCAAATTTTACCACTCCTCAACAATTAACTCTTTTTTCACGTCTTTTCCAAGTATATACTGATTTTAAACTGAAAATAGGAAAGTGCCTCCTTTTTAGGACCTTTTTACATTTTAGGTACACTGTATTAAAAAAAAAAAATTAAATTGTGGGAAGCTAATGCAAATGTAGAATGTTTTTTTATGTGTTTTTAATTTGGATGTATGCCCAGCTGTATGGGGTGACGCTGCAGCCAAAGTTTTACCTAAAGTAGAAACAATGTATTCTTTCTCACTCTTTTCTTATTTATTCTTATGCACGTCTAAAATAGGAAGCCAAGGAAGATATCAAGACTGTTATCAACAAATTATCAAAACTGAAGAATGAAATGACAACCAACAAGTCCTTTACAGACATTACCTCCGACAGACCTGATGCTAAAATCTGGAATGCTGAACTAATCAAGAGAAGTTTTCCTGATGGCACTCCCCCTAATTGGTTTGAAAGTGACTGGTTGTATGCCGAGTGTTACTTTTATAGAAGACTGAAAGAGGCCCTAGAGCAGAGGTAATTTTAAAAGCTGATGGATATTTACCTTAATTTTCAATGAATATATTTAATTCTAATCCCCCCCCCGTCTTGATTTTCCTTAAGTTGCAAACGTGTGAGATCAAGGTTGCCACAGTCAGGGAAAATGACGATAACGTCAGGGAAAAACCGATGAATAACCATTCTTTGCTGCTAAGAAGGAGTCCGAAATTTCGACCAACTAATGTTGCGTGTTCTGGTTTGGAAGGGTTGATTTTGCGGACGAATTTACGTGTCACCCTGACCACCCCCCCCCCCCCCNGCCGAGGAAAAGAAGGAAACAATGGGGAAGGGGGGCGAGAAGAAAAAAAAGTTCTCCATAACATTTACTGACTGGCTACTTTTAGGTTCGATCCCCCCCCCCCTTAAACCCCCTCTCAAAATGCGTTTTCTCTTTTTTGGAGGTCAAAAATGAAAAAAGCGCTATAAATTACTCCCATTTACCAATTTTCATTAACATTATTTGATGAACATTACCACAGTGTTAGAAAGACAGTGTTTTTTCTCCAACCACGGGGGGCCGTGGCCCCCAGGGAAAGCGCTTTTGGAAAAAAAAAGTTGCACCACGAAAACGTCTTTTTTCACCCTAAGAATCGACTCCTTCAATATTCATACTTAAACCTGGGACACCCTGTATAACCTAAGTTTACCAAACCAAAGGCTGCTCAATACCGCAGTAATAAATACTTGCGTAGTCCATATACTAAAATAAAATTATGCTAGTAGAGGTATTACTCGTCAATTTTTAACTTTCAAATAATGCACAAATTGTAAGCTAAAACTGCTTTAAAATCGATCTGATAGGGCCTATTTTCTTAAAAAATTTCGGGGGGAGGCTCCTTGGACCCCCCTTCCTCTGGAAGATGTCTCCCAGGCCCCCCCACTCCGCACCAGCAAATAGGTCCCCCCTCCTCTGACTCACTCTGGATCTGCCACTTCTTCCCTTCAGTCCCTCCCCTTCCTACCGTCTCCTCTGATTCGTGTGTACCCCCTTCACCCTTTTTACACTTAGCAATAATGAAAGGAAATACCTCTCTCTTCCTACCTTCAATAACTCATGCATTTTTATTCAATATTGTCTCCCAACCAAACGCTGTCTGTGAATCATTTTCCCTCTAACTTTCATGAGGATGAAACTGTGTTAAAGCAATTCTAAAAGAGCGACGCCAAGAATGGCACAATTTGGGCCAGCGGGGATTTTTCTGAAACTGGGCCCAAACGATACCTTATGATACCCTAAAACTCTGGTTAAAATTTTAGCTTGAGTATTCGCACGGTTTTTCAGAAATGAGGGGGCAAAGTTGCCAAATCGCCATCATTCTGGACAGCATTTCCACAGCAAAAAGACGGGAAAAAGGGACGAAAAAGTTACACCTTCGATGGGTTTCGGCTGTAAATGTTCTTATTGGGCCCCCAAGCATTTAACTGTGTTCAGTTTCAAAAACTTCGGTCGCACAGTGGTCCAAAATGGGGAGAAATCGTCGACAAATCAGGATTCTTTGTCGAATTTTTAAAAATGGAAATAAAATTGTCGGTCTGCTGCAGTTTTCATTGCTAACAATGTTCTTATCGGTCCTCAATGCAAGAAATTGTGTTCAGCTTCACAAATTTACATCGCACAGTGGTCAAAAATGGGGGCATTAGTGGACAAATTAAGATCCTCTGTGAAACTTTTTAAAAATGAAGTGAAACTGTTGGTCCCCTGTAGAGTTTAGATCCCGGAAAAATTCATGTATCTAATTTTTCTTAATTATTACTGCATGTCAGACCGTATTGTGTATAGAACATTTTTATAGAATAGACTTTGTAGCATTATCTCAATAAAATATGCAAACTTTCAAAAATTTAAAAAAAAAGAAGGAAAAATGGAGAGAAAGAATTAAAAAAAAAACATTTAAACAGTCCAAAAAAGAATTTAAAGAATTTTTCCGGGCTTTAAACTCTACTGGGGACCAACAGTTTCACTTCATTATTAAAAGTTTCACAGAGGATTTTAATTTGTCCACTAATTCCCTCATTTTTGACCACTGTGCGATGTAAATTTGTGAAGCTGAACACAATTTCTTGCATTGAGGACCGATAAGAACATTGTTAGCCATGAAAACTGCAGCAGACCGACAATTTTATTTCCATTTTTAAAAATTCGACAAAGAATCCTGATTTGTCGACGATTTCTCCCCATTTTGGACCACTGTGCGACCGAAGTTTTTGAAACTGAACACAGTTAAATGCTTGGGGGCTCGATGAGAACATTTACAGCAGAAACCCATCGAAAGTGTAACTTTTTCGTCCATTTTTCCCATCTTTTTGCTGTGGAAATTAGTCCAGTCAATAGAGCACAAATAGGGGCTAAGTAGAGACAATTTCTGAGGAAACTTTCTGATATACTATTCCTATGTATTTTTCATCGCTGAATCCGAATTTCACATTTGCGAACAAATCTGAGGCGAGCCAAAGCCGCCATCTTGAAAAAATGGCCGAAATTTGCGTTTTTCGGCCGAAAAACCGAAATAACTCGTATATTATTGAAATTACGGCAAAAGTAGTTATTTTCTAAATTAAAGTACATAAAATTTCCATTAAAAAGAGTCCAAGATGATTAAGATCGGATGATAACAAATGCCGCTACAGCGTTGCAAAGTTTCAGGCAAGTATTGAGGTTGAGCAATTTTCATAACATTCCCTGCAAAAAGAGAGCTTTCAAGGTAATCAATCATTAAATCGTAATAAGTGTAAGTATGAATTATAAAAGGAGTGCAATTTTGAGTTCCTGACTTTAAAGAACGGCAGTGGATAAAGAGGGGGGGGGGTCCGGTATGAGCGCAGCTGCAGGGTCCTCCGTTCCTCCCCCATTTTCATGGCCCGGGTGCGCCCGGTCGGCCTTCGTTCCCCGGTTATCAGTTTTTCTGTCCTCCACAGGCACCTTTTCCGGAGGAAAAAAACTTGATGTGCCTACGTATAGGTATATTCGCTGATAACAACAATAACTGCCACCAAGCCAAAGAGACAGGCACTGCTAGCTTGTCAAAAATATAATAGTGGGTCTAAATTTTGAGTCCGTTAAGTTTAAGCGCGCCGACCGCTGTAATCCAATCAGCAGTATGAGGAGTTTAATTTGAGTTGAAAACGATGTTGTTCCAATAAACCCTCTCTTATTATTTCGGAGTTATTAAAAAATCAGATGAGGAGCTTCAAAATTTTTAGTCGCAGGAACTTCCACCCAATCCACTCTCGCTATTTACCGCAGCAGATGTCATGCGTACAGTTACTATGTTCACATTTTATAATGCATTTACACCATGTCATGGTTTCCCCTTCGCCTCATTGCCTCTTGTTCCATCCTCGTCAATCTCTTCCTTTCACTGCATGTCATAGTCATTGTCCGAACATTCAGAGTCTTCTGGATCATCTACGTCATCCCCTTCTTCTTCTTCTTAAAAGTGCGTCATATTGACTATTTTCGCACGAGCCATGGCAATACTCGCATATAAGACTGCAATGAAGGCCTTCCTTCCAAAAACCGCGGGCGCCGCGACTTTCTTCAATGCACTTGCACGAGATCTTGCTTAAAATTTCGCCCGTAGCGGGATTTTCCAAGGTAATGATGGGGATGAGGCCATTTCTGCCATTCTACCACCCCCCAGTCACACGCGTATTTCTTGATGATCATCCATTGCTATGTACTTGAGGATAGGAGCATGAAATGTGGCAGCATCCTCTGAAGATGGAAGACAAGCTAGATTTTGTACATCGTAGAAAAAAGTCCGTACATAGCTTTCATACCTAAATTCAGCCAAAGTTTTTCTTCTACTCACCCTCGTAGCCAAACGATCTGAGTAAAAATTATTTTCCTGCTTTACAAATTTCTTCTTGCTTTAAGGCTGATTTTTTAAGCATCTGAGTTGGCTGAGTGGTTCTCCAGGGTTGCTAAAAACTTAACTTTGGCTTGTCTGAAGAGTGGTGATATTGTGTCACACCCTCTAATGGCATGAATGATCAGTACGTGTTCGGCTTTCACTTCATTTTGAAGGCTGCCTCGGTTGAAAAGTATTTAAAGAGTCTCACCTTTGCCGGATTTTAGAGGGAAAGCATTTTTGACGTTACGTGACTGAGCAGTAAGGAGGACAAGACGATCAATATATTTTCCTACAATGACAACAATTTCGCCCTATTTTGCCGTTTCCAAGGCCTTTGAAACTATTTGATTGTGTCAGTGACCTCTTCTGCTTGAAACACAGACATGGTTTCAGCCCTGAAACGTTTCATGAGCCTTTGGATCAAACGGGATTTGTTTTTGCCGCTTTTCAGAAAATTTGCTCGTGATGTTACTGGGACCATACTTTCATGGAATTTTATTTCCACTGATGAAGCTTGTCCTCTTCGCCATCTTCCAGGTCTTTTCGTGCTGCATCTTATAATATCCTTGGGATAGCCGCCGAAAACGATCACAGAATTAGCAGAACATACTTCGATTTTACGTAGGACACGTGGTTGTTGCATCTTGATGAAAATGCCTCATTTTGTCTCCAAATCACTCGATGGAGCAAAAAACGGACATCTATGACATAAGTAGGATTCTTGTCGTCAATTTTATCTACATACCGTGTAAATGTAAAAAACATATCATAAAATGTGGAATTCGCATGCCGTCTGCTAAGTTCAACAAAAGGGTAAAGGGTGGGAGTACGACAAAAAATGTTGAGGTTCCTAATCTGATTTTTTATTAGCAGTTATGCCCCGAAATAATAAAAGAGGTTTCATTGGAATAACATCGTTTACAACTCAAATTAAACTTCTAACCCGGAGAACGAAGGCCGACCGGGCGCACCCGGGCCATGAAAATGGGGGAGGAACGGAGGACCCTGCAGCTGCGCTCATACCGGACCCCCCCCCCTCTTTATCCACTGCCGTTCTTGAAAGTCAGGAACTCAAAATTGCACTCCTTTTATAATTCATACTTACACTTATTACGATTTAAT